TTTAATCCGGGCGTGTCGCCAGATGTGCGAGCCGCGCACGTCCGCTCCTTAAACAACAACAAAAAGCACGAGGAACCGACCGCAGGTCGGCGAGGTGGAACCTGCGCGCCCCTCACCTTGGGCGACGTGCTCCTGCAGCGCCTTGGCGCCTTCAAGGTAGCCGGTTGACCTTCAGGTGCTGGAAGATGAGAAAGAGCAGCGCGCCGTCGTCCTCCTTCGAAGCCCATGCTCTGCACAGGACCGGGGCCCGCAGTCTTTTGTGAGAAGGCTGCTTGGCTTTCGTGCTCGCGGCATCGGCGTGCGCCCGTGCCCTTGTGACGGGGGACGACGACGCCCCCCTCGAAATGCAGCCCGGGAAATGGAGTTTTGGGGGGGGGGGGGGGGGGTGGCAAACGCGTCTTTTAAGGTTGCATATTTCGCCAGATGTTACATTATTAAATTGCTTGGAAGGGTATTTCTAGGTAAAATAATGAATATAATCGCAACATGAATGTCAAATATCAATAATATAAACCAATAATATAAATACAATATAGAAAATACGATATTATTGTAACTTCAATATTATTATATATTTATCCTATTTAATTGTAGTTTTTTTAGTTTCCCTCTCATTTATCATGCTATCATTTCAATGGTTAAATTGAAAGCTGTTGGGCTTTTAAAATTGTATTTAAATGTAAAACGCAAAGCACCAGTCATCAGTCAAACAATGGACCTTGGAAATATTAAATTATTATTATTATTATTTTGGCATTAATAACCCAGTACACTGCTAACCAGTGAGGTATCTCAGCAGTTAACACAGACACAATCTAGTTAACGCAGATCTATTATTTATCCCACAATGGATCTGTATTGTTACTTTCATATTAGCATAGTAAGCACATGAGGCTAATAGTAGCATGCTAATCAAAAGTATCTTTGCATCTTGTCGTTATTCAGAAATAGGGGGGGAAATGGAATTCAATGAACCTCCATGAATAGACGTCTTTAATTTGTATGATAATACGCCTTGGCATTTAAATTAGTTTTATTTTAATAGAAAAATGAAGGAAATTAAAGGGATAAATTCGTGCATAATATTGTTTAAATTTGTTGATTAAGTCAATAAAACAATTCTGAGGTAAAGCCTCAGAGGGTTTCAAATAACGTCCTTTCACCGGGACAGTTTTCCCTCACACTTTAAGTCTTTCTGCATAATTTACCTGCATGAATACTGTCTTGTGGTGTTTTACTGTATTCCATCCCATTTCATTCATTCATTCATCGTCGTTGAAAGATTCACATACAGGATACAAGTTTATACTTTCAAAACAAAAGCGGCCACATCAGGTTGAGTTTTTACAACTACTTTTGTCCGGTTAAACCAGTCGGGGGCCCATATGAACCATATGACCCTGACTGCCGTCACTGACTGAGGCTCGCTACTCGTATTAAATCCTACTCCCAGCTCTTATTTCTTAATTTATCTGACGTATTTCCGGTCTCCTCCCGGTGTTCCTCCGGTTGACTTGGCGCAGACCTGCATCTGTACACTTCGTTGCGTAAAGAGAGACATTCCTGGTCTCCTCCGCGGGGCCAGCTGGCCCTCCGGCGGACGTTCTGTCCGGCATCGCGCATCCTCAAACGGGGGGGGAGTCCGTTACCATGACGACGACCGGAATCACAGCACGGCGGCGCACAGCCGTTCAAGACAATGGTGTTAAAGGACTGTTAAATTAGTTTGTTCGCTCCATCAAGTGGCACAAATTAAGCGGAGACTAACGGATGTTCGGCACGGTAACCTTCAAAGTAAAACTATTACGACGGGAAAACGAAATCCAGTTTCGAAAACAGAAAATGTACGTTACTATTTTATACTAATGGAATAATAGATTTTACATTATCGTCATTTTACAGCACCATTGCCAATAATTGACCAATTATCATCACCATCCGTGCAACAGTCTGAAATAGTGGGGCTAAATTAGCCTGTGTGGAAGCTAGGTAACTAAGCTTAGCCAGTTAGCTAGTGTTGTGACTGGCAATAATAAACTATTAGAAAAGACAGGAATGTTTCTCTTTATTTCGTTACAAATGTGTTGATAGTGAATATGAATGTGTTTTAAGACATGAATGAACAACGATAAAGGTTTGCTAGTGATAGCATAAGCCACTGGAGTTGGCTAGTATTAGTTCATCACATTGACGGTGAATTGTGTTTTATTCGCACCTAAGAAGAAACTATCATCAACAACCACATTAATCAAAAACATCTGTAACTTAACCGCGGTCCGTTTTATGGCCGCGTGTCTTATTCTGGCGGGTCAGACCGGAAGTGTCGTGGCGCCGCGGTGTCGTCTTGACTCTGGTCGTATTTCATTGGGAGTGAAGACGCTCCGTCTGCAAGGAAGAGTCGGTGGAAGCTCGAGGATATGCGGCGTCCTCTGCAAACTTTAAACTTCAGAACAAACTTTTCCGAGAGCTGAAGAAAAGACCCAGAGGGTGAAGAATGGACTGAAGAACAGCGGCGAGGAAGAGGAGGAGGAGGAGGAGGAGGAGGGAGAAGAAGAGCCGTTCACTGCAATCGATCCAATATCCAGGTATGATATTATTTCAAGGCCTGGCTTTTAAATAGCACAGCTGGTGTGAGAAGCAGAGAATAATAATATAATAAGAATAAATGTGCTAATTTTATACATCATGCTGAACAGTTTGGATGATTTAGATCTGGATCACTCGTGACGTCAGACATATAATACAATAAGGTTTTATTTGTAATAGGGTTGATTCGAAAATTCTCAGGCTGCAGACTACATCAAAAACTAGACTAATGCAGGACCAGATCTTTGCTCGGTCCGGACTGGTTCCAGGAAATAAGTTAGTGTGTGTGTGTGTGTGTGTGTGTGTGTGTGTGTGTGTGTGTGTGTGTGTGTGTGCTGTTACAATAAACACCAGTATCTCACCCAATAGCAAACCAGCCCACCAGTAAAGGAGCAATGGCCACAAGCTCGAGTTGGACCGAGACAGAATGCTTTTAGTCACGTCTCGCGTTTGTAAACAGTGTCACAGATGATACAGATGTGCATTCCTCACCACCGGTGAAGCAGCCCCTTGATTAGTCACACGCCGCGCTGGTCGTCTTGGAAACCGGGAATCAGGATTCCGAGCGAGCCTTTCCAGTAGCCGGGTCATCACGCAGGACCAGGCTGCGATGCACGGGCTGTGTGTGTGTGTGTGTGTGTGTGTGTGTGTGGTATCTTATAACACACTGAATGTCGTTTGGGTTTTGGACCCAAAACAAAATACTTTGTGAACTAATCAATTGATTGAATGAATGATTGACAGATCCTATGGTTCAGTGTCTCATCAAAGAAGCTTTTAAATGGTTGAAACAAAGAGGCCTCCTCAGCGCGGTTGCGCTCCCCCTCCTCCAGATGTGCTTCACATCTCCGCTGTGGTTCTGCGATCCGCGGCCGGCCCGTCTCCACAGCTCCGCCTCCCTGGAGTTGTGGCGGAGGAGGTCGTCACGCTGCTGCTGTTGTTGTTGTTGTTGTTTTTCTCCCCTGAAGTAGAGATGCAGGCGGCCGCTGCTGCTCTCGCCGTGCTGAGCGTCGTCCTCGGCCTGGACGGCCTGCGGGCTCACCGGTCAGAACCCAACCAGAACCACACCGAGCCCAAGAAGAAGAAGACCCAGCCGCACATCATCTTCATCCTCACGGACGACCAGGTGTGTGTGTGTGTGTGTGACTATCACACTCCGGGCAAGTATTTCAAATACAAAACCTCACAGCTGTTATTGCACAATGTCACTGCTTCAACTTGTGCAACAGCACATTTCAATAGATATTGTGCAATAAAACGTTTTTATTATGTTGCTCAGTATCGTGATTTAAGTTGTTTTATTTGGGGCACAGGGCTTCAACGACATCGGCTACCACAACCCCACCCTCAAGACCCCCACCCTGGACAAGCTGGCGGCGGAGGGCGTGACGCTGGAGAACTACTACGTCCAGCCCATCTGCACGCCGTCCCGCAGCCAGCTGATCACCGGCAGGTAGAAGGCGCTTTAAAAGCGGCTGCCCAGTGGGCGCGCGCGGATTTTTATGACAAATATAACATAGAATTATTATTATTATTAGAAACCGTCTCATTGGTCAGTCTCAGCGGTAACTGATACCACTGTGGGATCGATCGCCCCGTTTGGTTTCTTGCTGCAGGTATCAGATCCACACTGGGCTTCAGCACTCCATCATCAGACCGAGTCAGCCCAGCTGCCTGCCGGCCCACATGGACACTCTGCCCGAGAGGCTGCGGCAGGCCGGCTACGCCACGCACATGGTGGGCAAGTGGCACCTGGGCTTCTACAGGTGAGAGGGCGGCGGCCCGCCGAAGCGTGGGTCTTGTCCTGGGGTTTATTCTTCTCGTTACGTGTCACCGTCACACGTGGGAGAAGAAGACGACAAGCAGGCTCACAAACAGGGATGAAGAACACTGTTTAAATAATATTGCAAACGTTTTAACGTGCGTTTAAGCGCCTTTCGTAGGTCACATCATAGAGATCTGATGCTCAGGTTAGCGTGTTTTCCCTGCAGGAAGGCGTGTCTGCCCACCAGAAAGGGATTTGACAGTTTCTTCGGTTCTTTAACAGGAAGTGTGGACTACTACAGGTAACATTTTCATTAATTTATTCATTTTCTTAATCCCAAAAAGCTAATTTAATTAGTTAAAATAATTTTTAATTAATTTAGTTTATTTTTATTACAAATGAAACATTTTTGAATGCATGAACTAGGACCGATTTACATTTTTGTTTCCTGTGTTTTCACTGTGTCCTTGACTCGCATGTCTCCGTCCAGCTACGGGTCCTGTGACGGCCCCGGGTTGTGCGGTTACGATCTCCATGACGACGAGGGCGTGGCGTGGGGCCAGGAGGGGAAGTACTCCACCACGCTCTTCACCCAGAGAGCTCGCAAGATCCTGGAGAGTCACGACCCGGCGGACAGGCCGCTCTTCCTGCTGCTCTCGCTGCAGGTACCGAAAGAACGTCTCGTCTCAACATCTCAGTTTAAGGCCCTCAAGACGGAGAGAAAACAAATCCTGCAGAGCCTGAAATGTGTTTTGACGCTGCGGTGGTTTGCGTCCTCTCGTGGGGAGTTCCGAGATGTTGGAAAAACACAGAAGTCCCTTTAAAGTCTGCAGAATGAATATTTGGGTTCTTTTGATGAGGTTTGAGTGCGACTTCAAACCACCGGGCTGTTTCATTTGAAATGTTTCCACGTAGGGCCGCTGAGCTCCTACCTAAGTGTGAGGGGCATTCTGGGAGATGATGGAGTGCAACGTGGTGTTAATGTTTCCCTGCAGGCCGTCCACACTCCTCTGCAGACCCCCAAGTCCTACATCTACCCCTACCGGGACATGGCCAACGTCGCCAGGAGGAAGTTCGCCGCCATGGTGTCCACGGTGGACGAGGCGGTCCGGAACGTCACCTACGCCCTGAGGAAGCACGGGTACTACCGGAACAGCGTCATCATCTACTCCACCGACAACGGCGCCCAGCCCTTCACGGGGGGGAGCAACTGGCCGCTACGAGGCCGAAAGGTACGTAGAACCTCTCGATCTTCTCACACTTTTACCTCAAATGAAGAGAAAGCCGTGACTCTGCTCGCTGTCCGTGTACCCAGGGCACGTACTGGGAGGGGGGGGTCCGTGGAGTGGCGTTCGTCCACAGCCCCCTGCTGAGGCGGCGAAGACGGGTCTCCAAAGCTCTGCTGCACATCACCGACTGGTTCCCCACGCTGGTGGCTCTGGCCGGGGGAAACGCCAGCGAGGTCAGCGGGGGGCCTTTAGTGCCTCAGTCAAAGTTCTTCCTCCCGGGTCCTCGCTGATACCGGCGTGTTCCGTTTGCCCCCTCAGAGCCGCGGCCTGGACGGGTTTGATGTCTGGCCCACCATCAGCGAGGGGCGGGAGTCCCCTCGTCAGGAGATCCTTCACAACATCGACCCGCTGCACAAGCCCCCCGCCCAGACCACCAAGTGGGGCGCGGCATCGGGTAACGATCCCCCAGAAAACGAGCTAAACGTGCTAAGCGTGCTAAACGTGTCTCCGTCAGTCAGACGTTACCAACCAACGGGTCTCTAGATGCATTTATTGACCGTTGGTTTAGTCAAATGTCCACATATCTGTCTCAAAGCTAAAGAGTTAACTTTGTATCTGCAAACTTGTGCGTTTTTCTTTAAAGGCCCAAAGAAGCCAAAGAAGAAGAAGAAGAAGATCCAGAAGAAGAGGATCCACAAGCTGAAACCAAAGCAGAAGTCAGCGTTCAGGTTGAAGAGCACCAAGAAACCTCAGACTTTTTCCCATCATGCCGTTCAACTTAAAGCCACCAAGCCCCTCCCCCAGTCTAAACCCAAACCTAAAACCAGAGCCCAGGCTCAGAACCAGAGCCCACGGCCCAAGTCCTACTCCAGCGGCGCTCCGCCGGCGGCGGGAACGTCTCACTCTCGTTCTCAGATCCAATCACGTCCGGGGTCCAAATCCAGGCGGAACGCGTCTCGGAACCAGGACCCCCCGGCGTCCGCATCTGAAGCTCAGCTCGGGCCTCATTCAGGGCCCCGGAACGGGTCGCGTCCCACGGCCGGGTGGCCTCAGCCCCCGTGGGACGCCTCGGTCCAGGCCGCCATCCGGGTGGGAGACTGGAAGCTGCTGACAGGAGACCCGGGTCACGGAGACTGGGTCCCCCCGCAGGTACCGCCGCAGATTAGAACCCCCGCCCCCCCCCCGCTCAAAAGTTCAAAACGCTAACCGGCAGCTAAACACACCTTTTATGAACCCCTCCCCCCCTCCGAGGGGTGGCACCCTGACCGGGTGCGGGGAAACCGGAAGGCGCGGTTCTTTGCGGCATCCAAGGAGCCCCCCTCCAAAAGTGGGAGTCTTCAAAATAACGGCGGACCCGTGCGAGCGGCGGGACCTGTCGGGCCAGAGGCCGGACGTGGTCCGCAGGCTGATGGCCCGGCTCGCCCACTACAACCAGTCGGCCGTGCCGGTTTACTTCCCGCCGGACGACCCGCGGGCCGACCCGGCCCGGCACGCCGGCGCCTGGGTGCCCTGGGTGGAGGAGGAGGTGGAGGAGAGGGAGGAGGGCAGGTACCACGGAGTGTACAAGAAGGGCCGGGGGGGCAAGAAGAAGAGGAAGAACCCGCGGTGCCCGCTGTGCAAGCTCCGCTCCTTCTTCCTGAAGCTGAACACCGGGATGATGTCCAACCGGATCTGAGGCGGGGGGTCCGGGGTGAGCTGAGGAGGCGGGGGGAGGCGGAGCCGGAAGCCACCCCGCACCGGAGGCGTCTAAAGGGTCAGTTCACTCAAACCGGGAGACCCTTTCCGGATCCGCCCTGGTGGGGTGTGGTTTCCCACGACGACAAACCTCCTACCGGCCTCTTTGGTCAGTTCGCGGACATGAAAACCGAAAAGGGTTCAGTGGGTCGGGGGGCTGGTTTATGTCACCGATAACCAGTAACAAGGTACAACAAAGCGCAGGATGTTGGTTTTCTTGTATTTGTGTGAACGGGCCCTTTTGAATCCTCACGGTTGCTCTTCGGAACCTTCGGAATAGTTTGACTTTTATAAAATCGTCGTCCATCACAGGAACTGACAGAGTTCTTCACACGAGAGCCGCCTGAGTTTTTACACCGTATTTAATTTGTTTCTTTCACTTTGAGCCGAACTCAAACGTCCCTGCAGATGATTTACTTTTCACAGTGAAACTGCATGTGTGTGATGATCTATATTCCTATAACTGTTTTTTCTGGTCTCAGTCATAATAATAATAGTAATAATGGGTAAAAGGTTTTAATACTATCACATTTTCAGCAAAGGCAGATAATTTTTTTTTGTGTATTTGGCTGAATTTAGAGTGTTTTTATTACCGTCTGAGTAATACAGGGCTCACTAGATTTACTTAATTTAATTCAACTATTAAGTTTTGATTTACTTGATTCACTTAATTATTCTCAAGGCACTAATTGATCAAATACTACAGGAGGGACGTGATATTGAAATGTAGCATTTATTTCTGACAATCCTGTTTTTTTTTAACTTAAACTATTCAGGGGAAATGTTTATTTTGTTTGATTTTAAGGATTAATTAATCCTCAAAATGACACCATAACAACCTGCAGCCTCCACAACAGACAGGAAGTCCAACGTGTGTCCCAGCATCAGAAACCTCTCTGAAGTAACCTGCTGGTTTCCGTCCCTCCAGCGAGACACCTAACCTCTAAATATTTCTGTGTATTTGCACAATATCTAACAAAGCGTGACTGTGGAGCAGCGGAGAGCTGAGCGGTTTGAAGGGACGCTGCGTGTCTGCGCCTTGAGTAAATAAAGCTGAAATGAAATCACTCCTTTTTCACGTGTTCTGGAGACATAAATATATACGTGCACCTTTTTGGGTAAATGTCACTTTATTTTCTAACCCGTAAGTAGTGTTGAGAGCTCTGACCTAATAAACAAATATGATCCCACGTCTGCATAATTCCTTTATAATGATTTCAAGATGCAAGTCTCACTTTTGTGACTCAAACTAGGAGGATCATCGATGACCAGATATCTGCTCTTTGCAGCTCATGACTGTTTAACAGAAGATAAGATGGAAGCTTATACTGAACAATCATGCAGGGTTCCTAGTTGGACCACCAGGGGGCGCCGTGTACCAACCATCTGTGCACACAGGAGCTAAAACAAGGATGCACGCTTTCCTCTCCATCGTTTCCTCTCGGGAGTAATTGATTTGAGGGGATTTTATGGATTATGTAATCCTGTGGGATCAAAATATCCTGTTTTAGCTGCGCGTTCTTCACCACAAACCAGCGGTGGAGAGTAAGAAATACGTATAATTAAATCGTACTTCTACTTGCGGTCCTTGCAGTTAATATTCTCCTAGTTTTAAATATTTATAGTACTTTTTTTTACATCATATAAATGAAAAGTGAAGCAGAAAATATCCACTTTTGAGAAGCTTCAAAACATTTTGTAGCCTTTTTTGCATGAAAAAGTAGATAAAGAATTAAGTCTTCAGGGGATCAAAATTATTGAGACATTGCCGTCTGGGTCCCGGGACTCAAACCTCTCGTGACGAGTTCAGTAAACTCCGTGAAATTCACTCCGTTTATCCACTTTTATCTGTAAAGCTTCAAAGCTCTTGACTTCCCTCCAGGTTTCATCTCCTCTCTGCAGATAAATCTGTCTCTCAGATGTCTTTGCTTCTTTCGTGCTACATCAGCAGACTGATACATCCGCACGATGTAGAAAAAGTGAATTCCCCGTAAAAAAACGTGCCTTCTTTCATACCATTGACCTACATTCACACAGATTGACTGCCGCTATAGAACAGAATCCACGTTTTGCCGACCGATTCACAAGGTTAATTGATTAGAGCTGGTGTGTGTGTGTGTTATACATGTTTGCAGTTGTTCCTCTTTTGAAGTCAGTGAGTTTTATTGTAATGTTTTCGGTTAGATGGCTAAAAATAGAACAAAGCACTGCCCCTCATGAAGAGCTTTCAGGTTATTTTAAGTGGCTTTAATTAAAAACTCAACCGACTTTCCGATCCGTTGGTGCCGATTATGAAATGCCATTTAGAACATCACTGAATGCCCTTTAAAGCCTCCAGACTCCTTTGACAAACTGTTGGTGCAACGCCGCCTCCGTCTGATTCGGATTCATAAAAAAAAATAAAAAAATAAAAAAAATTAGATGAAAATTAAATCAATTCAAACATTGATCTAAATCAGCTGCTTGAACCCAAAACATCCTTCCTGGAGGACAAATGAGACGTGCTGCTCACAACACACAATGCCCTGGGTTTTTATTTCATGACAATTCAAGAGGATTCTTAAGTCCTTCCCGTGTGAGAGAGTCTACAAAAACAAAAACTCATGAATCAAGTGGAGCGGGCATGGGGGGGGGTCGTGGTACAGACAAAGATAAACTACAAGTTTAGCCTTGTTCCGTACCAAACTCTTCACAGAAGAGATTTCTTTTTACATTTGTTTGTTTTTTTGTAACGTTTTTTCCTCAAGGCCTCCGATGACTTTCAGCCGTCTGGTGATTCAAAGTCTTTTCCTTAAAAAAAAAAGGAGGAAAACGTGTTTTAAGTGAAGAAGCTGGAATGATAAATGTCACTTACTGCTGTTTGGACTCCCGTATACATTTTTTTTTAAAAGAACAAGTAACAAAATAATGAAGTTTGTGTGAAAAAAATTAAAACAACGTGAAGAATTCAAAAATGTTAAATGTGGGGCGGGGGGGTGGAGGGGGCATCTTTAAGAGAAATACAAATAAATGAGGCTCTGGACCAGAGGGCAAAAAACAAAAAAACAAACACATCAACGCAGAAAATCACCAGGACTCTTTTCCCAGGAAGCAGCAAAGCATTCTGGGAAGAGTCGTCATCGTTGTTTTGTTACTTGTCTCAGGAATATTACTATTTGTGTGGAAGAGAACCGGGGAAACCAAAGAACCCGACAAACTGATTCCCACCCGACTCCACGAGGTGGAACAACCGAAGAATAGATGCAAAAACGTATCAAGCAGCGACTGCGGCGCCGAGCGGGTTCAGGGTGTGAAGAACGATTTACATTAAAATAAAAGATTAAAGAAAACATGAACGGAGAAAGGAAAATGTTTGTAAACACGGCACAATAAATTAGATCAGACAGCAGGTCGGGCTGCGTGCACGTGGGCCGTGCACGCCTCTCGAGGTTGAACTGTCACACTCGCACCAGTTTGTCGTTTTCTCTTTTTAATTTTGATTCTTTTTTTGTGTTTGTTTTTCAATATCGAGTGCAAAACATCACAAATGAACAATTCTGTATTCAAGTAATGTTATATACAAGAACTGGGGGGGTATTACAAATATGCAGTACTGTACATATAATTTCCATATTAAGGATTTACATACGATCTCTTATTAACAGTAACAAAAAGGGCAAATGGGGGAGCGGGGAGAGAGAGAGAGAAAAAAAAAAGATTTGTACGAGACGAGCATTGCAATTAAGTCCCAAACCGGTTGCCGTGGAAACTCTGCCTTCGCCGCGCTCGTTCCGCCACTACTTTGCTTTCACCACTAACCAACGATGCATAGCACCAAAAAAAAAAAAAAAAAGCGTGGAGGGTGGAGTCAGCCGCTGCGTACGGGAGGCTACGTCACCTCCATGGCCACTGTGTTCTCTGACAGACTGTTCAGGGGGGGCTTCTCTTGTTCGTGGTTCTCCCTGATGGAAGAAGACACACAGTCAGCGGCGTTTCATCTCCAAACACAGCAGATGTCTGTATGCGTTCGCTCACCTGGGCGCTACGTCCAGCGGCGAGGCCGAGGCCGCGGTGACCTTGGGCTTCTGACAGTTGGCGGTGGCAGCGTGGGCGAGCTTTAAGGCGGAGGTGGACATGGCGGCGCTTAGCGTCCGTGGGGCGTGGACGCGCTTGCCGGCGGGGACGCCCAGGCGGAGGCTGCTGTTGCCGTTGTTGGTTCCCAGCAGGACCTGAGTGGCGGCGGCGGCGGGGTGGGCGGTGCCGTTGTTGTTACTGGTGGCGGGGGTGGAGCTGGTGGTGGTGGCGGCGCCGGCGCAGGGGTGGAGCGAGGCGGGTGACGGGCTGGAGGTGGGTGGAGCCAGGGCAGCGGGGGAGGGGGATGCTGTGCTCGAGAGGTGCAAGCCCTTGTAGACACCTGGGGGGGGGGGGGTGAAGAGAGGCCGGGTGGAGGAGGAGGGCGGAAGGTGGTGGCGGAGGAGCAGAAATGAAAGTTAACAAAAAGGCCTCGATTACTCGCCCACTGGCGCTCGTTGAATCAATGACCGTATAGTACCTGAGGGGGGGAGGACGCCGTTGACTCCGCCTCCCAGGGCTGGCTCCTCCTTGGTCTTGAGAGCCAGCAGTTTGTCGGGGGTGACGAGGGCCGAGGCGGCAAACTGGGCGCCGGCCTGGTCCAGAGTGTTCGCCGGGCCCTGTCGTAGGGAAGCAAAAAGGCCGGTCAGTCGGTGCCGAGGGGAAACAACTCAGCGGGAGGACCAGAAGCGACCCGCCGCCCCCCCCCCCACCTTTGTGCTGTTTGTAGTGGCGGTGCTGTTGGCTTGCTGCTGCAGCTGGATCTGCTCCAGCTGCTGTTTCTGCATCAGGGCCAGCTGCTCCTGATGCTGCTGGTACTGTTCGGCTGTGAGAGCTGTGGGACACACACACACACACACGAGAGCGGGTTACAAATCTGGACTCGCAAACACAAAATAAAACGCTGACACACGGCGTGCGCTGTGAGGGAGTCGGACGCCACTCATTGGCGCCGCTTGAAGGAACCAAACACGTTTCCCCTCCAATAAATGAAACGTCTTCCTTCTGTAATTTAATCTGCCAGCGTCTCGTCGCCTTAATTGAGACACATTATTTTATCGCTTTATTAAAAACGGGTGCTTCAGGCGCTCCATCGATACGCCGACGACTTCAACATGAATTCATTAAGGCAGAAAGGAATGTTGGCCTTCATTACGGCGGGTGACAAAAAATAAAACTCACCTCAGTGGCAAATATGTTGGATAAAAAGTATCCAGGGTTCTTGCACTTCAAAAGTAAAATTTAAGGCTTTTTAAGACCTTAAGACCTCAAATATAATTTAAGATTTAATTTAAAATTTCTTTGGAATACACAATTTATTGCCTCCTACAATGGAAATCAAAAACATTTGGAATCGGGGAACATGGCGGCAAAGACGCCACGTACAGTACGTCATCATTTGAGTTAAATGAATTGTGCCTCGTCACAGTGTGGAGAACCCACAGTACCTTTTGGGTGTTTGGTGTTGAAATGAAACTGAACTTGTAACGTCGTAGCAGGGATTAACCTGGCCCCGCTGTGGCTAGCTGCTGCAACGTATCGCTGGTGCTTTCCTCCTTCCACGTGCGACTCTGCGGCTTTGAGCCCCACGGTCCCGAATGAAAAGGTCTTTTTAGTTTACACATTGCCTCATTGTTGTTCTCAACCGGCGCCAACCGCCTCCTAAGTGCATCCTCTTCCATCCACTTGTCGTTAAATTTGCACTTCCAACTTCTTTGCATTTTCAACCTCACATCGCCAACCGCGTAATGGCGACACGCAGCCTGACGTCAGCGTCCGTAGCCGACGTGCCGTAAACAGCTATTTAATTGCGGAGACTCATTTCGCACAATACTAAATTAATCAACTATTAGATGTTTTACAATGCGCCACGGTGCTTTCTCGTCGGCATTAAGCGCACCGGCAAAAAAATTAATACCTACAGCAACTTTACGTGAAATTTAAGACAATTTAAGACCTTAATTACCCGAATTTTAATTTAAGACATTTTAAGACTTTAAGGACCCGCGGGAACCCTGGTATCTCTACCAAGTAATGCTGAAGGGAACGAGAGACCAGCCGCGTGTTCCGTCCTAATTCAACAGATGACTTATGACCAGAGGGGGCGGTGGGGGAACACGGGAGCCCCCGCAGCTCGTGCGTGCGTGCATTCCTTCGGCCACCTACCAGCGACGGGCGGCGGCGCGGCGACGACCCTCGCCGGCCGCTGAGAGCCGAACGGCCGGCCCCCGGCTGCGCAGCTGGAGATCGGTCGCTTCAGGTCACGACTCAACTTCCTGAATAGCGGGTGGGCGTCGTCCAGCTCGTGTAGTGGTAGTGTCCGTGGTCTAAAGTGCCGCCATCGGCACGACCGTATATTCAACAGTATGTGACTGAGGTCCGTGGAAGAGGGGGGCGAGCGAGAGGCGTTGCAGGGGGAACTTCTGTCCGAGGTATTTGTTTCTGAGGTACCGGCGAACCTGTCGGCGGCCGGCGAGCGTGAAGTAGTTGTAGGAGGCGGCGGCGGCGGCGGCGAGAGGGGGGGAGGCAAGTCGAGCTGTTCTGGGTCCAGTCCGTGGAAAACGTTGTTGTAGTCTGTGAGCGCTCTGTCCAGCAGCACCCTGAGGGGGACGGGGAGACAGTGGGACACGTCAATAAAAATGTCTGCCAGAAAATGGAACATGGAAAGAACAGAAAGTGAACCGACCTGCCGCCGCGTCCCAAGCGTCGGCGAGCCAGGCCGAGGCAGCGCCGCGGCACGGTGAGCGTGGTGAAGCTGTAGCGGAAGCGAGCTTCTGCCAAGCCGCCGTCCGCGGGTCCGCACCACGGCCAGCTACCCACGCGGTCCTGATGAGACTGGAGCAGAAACACACACCATCAACTCTCAGCGTGACCTTAAAATCTTTCCTCTGAGTACTTTGTTGCTATAAAACCCACAACAATTGATATCAGCTGCAGGAAGCTCAACGCAGGAAACCTTTAATTGCATCTACAGCCGCGAGGTTCCATGACGGCTTCTAGGATTAAAGCTTTAAAAGAGACCGCTCCCGCCACACGGGGCGAGCAGGGTACTTACAGCGTAGTACTGGCAGCCCGACTTCCTGCGAAAGGCATAAGCGCCGTCGGGGTCGTTCTCCTCCTCCGCCTCCGATGAGCCCGAGTGCAGCTGTGGACGCAGAGGTTAAAGGTCAGTGGAAGAGCAGAACAAGGTATCGAAGGAGTCTAGATGGACCCGGACACGAACCTGCGAGAAGGGCTCGTCGTCCGAGCTGGGGAAGTCGTACTGGTTGAGGTCCTTGGCGTTGAAGACGACGGGCCCCGGGTGGTGGGGGGCGCCCGACGAGAGAGGCAACACCTTCTGCTTCTTCTCATACTTCCTCTTCAGACGGGGGACCTCCGTCTTCTCAGGCTGAAGGAGAGACGACTCATGACTCATCGGCCACGTTTAAATCAGGAAATTCTATTTAAGAATGCGTCAACAAGCTGGACAATGTCCGTTTAGGGGTCGAAGACACAGGAGGGAAATACTAATAAGACACCACCCCCCCACAGTCCAGCGTCAGGACCCTGATCCCAACAGGGAGCCTCACCTTGCACTTGTAGTCCTTGTGGTCCATGTGGTCCTGGTGTCTGTACTGGTTCGTGACTGGGACCAGGGGAATGATCTGCGGCCTCACCAGCGCCCGCTCAGCCAGCACCTCGGCCATGACCTCGCCGCTGTAGTCAGACATGACGTTTCTGGAAAAGAGAAGGGGGGGGTGGGGCGGGATTTACCTTCAGTTTCTCTCCAGTCGGAGCAGCAACCGGACTTCTTCCTTCATAAAGTCTACGTACCAATGAATCGTGTGTGTGTGTGTGCGCTCACCTCTTCTCAAAGATCTCCAGTGTGAGGTGCAGCAGCTCTCGCTTACTCTTCTCCCTCCTCTTGATCATCTCCAGGATGGTGACGGCCCGGCTGAGGTCCCGGCGCAGCTTCAGCATCTTCTCGTAGGACGCCTCGTCGTTCTTGCGGTTCTGAGTGGTGGGAGGAGGAGATGAGCAAGCGCAGAACAAGTCGGGTTAAAGCTAAAATAAAAACGTAGGCCTGGCCTTCACCCAACGCGTCGAGCCTCACAAAACCACCTATTTAAATAACACTTATGAGGTTAATTTATGTGCATCAAATTCAAAAATCAACATCGGGTAGTTTTGGAACATTTGATTGGATGAAAGCAAATCAGTTCGTTAGATCAAAGTCAACACCAAGGCAGAAATTCTTCAAATGACCACTTGGTGGCGTAAACATCCCTCAGAAGAGTCGATGTTCAGCCGAGCAGCCTCACCGACTAAAGCACCAAGCGATAGTTTGTCATTTCAAAAGAGGCGGCGCTGCAATAGTTGTTTTAAATAACCTTGAATAGTTTCTCACTTATTATTCTTACATCAGGAACTTCCATGCAAATAATATCACAGAAGCCACTTGTGTTGAAAAATGGAGGAATGAGGTTGGCAGATTTAAGGATTTATAACTAAATAAAAGCCTGAAATGAAGGTTGTCTGTTAAAGTGGCCACGGTTCTCGTGCTCGGCTTTTGTTAATTATCCCGACTAGTAGCATCCTCCAAAGCTGCCCGAGAGAAGGACGACGCTTTCAGCGCTGATTACAAACGTCCACGTCACGTGTTCGACATGCGGCGGGTTTACGAACGCGTCAAAAACCGGATCGAGCATCACAAGAGACGATGACACCAGAATGTTTCCACGGTGACTCAGTTGTCATCTCACTGGAGGGGGAAGCCCGTCAGCGCATGAAGTACTTCCTACAGCAACGCGTGGCGACACTCACCTTCCTGGTCTGCATCTTCTCGGTGCGCCGGCGGAAGGCCACGTAGGGGTCACTGGTGCTGGCGCCGTCCCGTCTCTCCTGCTTGACGGTGGAGAGGAGGCAGTTGGCCCGGCTGCTTTTCCTCTTGCGGCTCCAGTAGTCGAAGACCTCCTTGATGAGCTCGTCGTCCTCCTTCAGCAACAGTTTGGCCTCCGGGAGGCTCACCGCCTGGCGGGACGACACAGACGCCAGTTAGTCGCGATAAATAGAAAAGTGGCAGAGCTTTAACGCCGCGCCGGCAGGATCGGCTAAAGCTCGTTGCGCATTTGTCTGCCGACCTGCTGCCCGCTGCCCTTCTCCAGCCGGTCGATCATCTCCTCAAACTGCAGGAAGCTGATCTCCATCTTCTTCTTCAGCTTGTTGACGAAAGCGTCGTCCTCCGAGTCCAGGTCGTAGTCGGGCTGCTCCGCGTCCAAGCTGAAAGCTGCAGGGAGGACGGGAGACACGCATGGGTGAGACACAGGTGATGGACGCTAAGCCTGAGGCTCTTATCTGCCCCTAGAAGATGAAGGAACAAATTCAATGCCACAATCTCCTTATCGGCGTTATTCCGAAGTGTCCCCCCGCTGCGACCTGACTACAAACACACGTCTACTGTATCGTTACCACACACACACACACACACACACACACTTAATGTGTTCAGCAGCGTACGGGAGATCAAAACACAGCGCAGATATTCAGTGCCGGACTGTTTACAGCGTCACACTTACAATGAATCAGATACTAAATACACTTTAAATAACGGAATGTGCTGCCTGAAACAAACGATTTAAAGAAATGTTACATCACAAAGAGCAAATGCTGTAAAAAATATAAAACCAGAAGCTGCAGCTATGAGTGACTGAGAATTAAAATAAGTAAACAAATGCAATGAAACGCTGACGAAGGTTTGTGTTCAGGAGGAAAAGGTCATAATACTGCACGCCATTTTAACCCGGCAAACGAAGCAGCCCATCAAAAACAAAACAGCCACTATAACCCTGCAGGCCACTGAAGCATCAGAAGTGACAGGTAACCAACCGTCTTGGAAACCGGTTTCTTCAGAACACACACACACACACACACACACACACACACACACACACACACACACACACAAATCAAATGGAGACCAACACAACGTGCAGACCGGAGGCTCGACCTAAAGACAAAAGCGAATTTCAATCTCAGATCTTTGATCGACTGCCATCTTATGAGACAACAGCAAACTGAAGGAAACGGACCTACGGGGGAACAAGCGTGGGACCACACTGGTCCCTTCAGCTCGTGTCCCTAGGAACAAACACTAGTGACAGACGAGCTCACTGAACCAAACAATCCGGCACACTCGTTTCCCTCGACAGCATTAAAGTCTGCAACCTCAAAGTCATTTACTGTGACAACTTAAAGGTAGAAGCTCGTAAACCCGTCAGCTGGACGAATAGCTGTGACACACGGACCCCGTTTTGTTCCTGTGGTTTATGGCGTCACAACCACCCGGTTTCAGGAAGCGCTTTGAACTCTTTATACTCTTCTTCACGGTCCAAAGGTTAATGCAGCGAAATGAACGGGGCCCAGTGACGTTCAGCAATCATACAAATTCGACCCAAAAGGCCTCACTTAATGCATTCCGCATAATTAAAACCATTGCCGCCCACTTACGCTGTATGTGAATTAGCTGCTTTGGCATCTTGAACTCCCCGGGGTAGAGGGATTCGTAGTACGTGATGTTGCTCTCCGCCTCGGGGACCGGGATGACCATGCTGTCCCGCTTCTCGCCGTACACCTGGTGCGCCGAGATGGCCCGCTGGAGGTGGTGTTCCTGCAGGAGACAAAAAGACTGGGAGGTGAGACACCAGAAGCAGCGAGCGGGGGTCCCCCTTCAGCCCGGTCAGGTCCTCACGTGGCGATGGTTCCCTTTCCCAATCCAGTGACAATTACCAGCATCCTCGTCCTGGCTCAGACGATGCAAACAGAACCTGCCATCCAAGCACCACCATCTCCAGAGCACAAACACAAGAGGACACCGCTCGAGCCCGTCGCCGCCATGCCGGCACACTGGTACTGTGCCGCACGGACGGCGGACAAACAGGCTGACTGGTTTGCTGGCGGGCAGCTTGGGCGAGCGGTCCCAGTCGGACGCAGCGCCGCCGTTGGCCTCCGAGCCGCTGGCAGGCGGCCTGTCAACATGGCAGCGTGCTGCCGGCATCAGACCGAAGCTCTCTGACAAAGGAAGCGTGTGGAGCGTAGTGAGGGGGGGGGGGGCGAGCGTATCTGCGCCTGGGGAAGCCAGTCAGAGTGAGTGAATGAGTCAAAATAGAAGCTGTGTGCGCGCTTAAACGAATGAGGGAGTTTTGTCCTGCTTGAGAAACCACAAAGCGGGTTGGAGCTTAGTCTGGCCTGTGTGAGCGCGATGATATAATGTAGAAACAAGCACGGGGAGCCAGTCGGTGCTCACAGGGTGATGTAACACAGTAAGTGTTCAAGAGCTGCGGCAGGATTAACTTTGTGCAGTCTGGGAAATCACTCCGAATCTGATCCGTAGCTTCGTTGAGTCGTACAAAAACGACACTTGTGTCACAGCTTCTTTTTCCCCAAGCAACCGCTATGAATGGCAATAGTTTGTTTTAGTAAAGTCCAATCATTAAATTGTTTAATTCTTTCAGTGGCCGAGCAATAACTTAAACACTGAGCATAAAATCCAACGTACTGCGTTAACCATTATTTGTTGGTGTGTAGCTTTTAAAACTTCCATTTTATGCAAAATTACGCAGCAATACATCCATTAATGACATTTATTTAGCAGATGATTCATCCGAGGAAACTGATTGCACATTAAATTGTCTTCATGCTGACCAGCAACATCCAAACAGATCCAACGTCACAATTCAGATAAACTATCAGAAATCTAGATGCCTGCTTGCTGCCCAAAGACACGACGGCCGCTTGCTGCAAGCGTCTGTCCCCCAAACCCTCATGAGGACAGTCAGTGCTGGCTGGACTGGAGCCCTGTAACAGTACAATTAAATAAACCGCAGGATGGGGCGATGTACGGATGAAAGACTTCCATGAGGGTTTTTATTTCCTAAGCTGACAAACATACACTTGTATAAAAACACCCGCACAGGAATGTTTATGGCCACTTAAACATGACGCCAACCTTCCTGGGAGTCCAACAACTGGAATCACACACAGATGCCGTACAGGTTAGTCACAGGCCGCCATCGCAGTAAGCCAACAAAAGAAAAACAAAACGTCCCAGAGTCGATGAAAGGAGCTCCGATCTCTGCATGACAGAAAACAAAGCCGCCAGCAGGACAGAAAAATGCTTTTCAAGATCGCCAACGAGACGACAGCAACGTCGACAATAAACAAGGCGAGTCCACAGCCATTAATCATCCTTCAGCACCACAGACGTCACTGCAAGCGGGTTCTAGAAGTCAGCTGGATGTTCCTCTTGGTACGTGATGAACCGCCAGCGGCTCCCACCGGGTTCCATCGGCGTGCCGTTTCTCAAGAGACATTCAGATGCAATTAATGAGAAATCCTATGCTACGCAGTTTCTACACCAGTCGACACTCAAGAGGTCTCGCACATACACATCGGTAGTTCGGTGCGTCTTCTCTCCATGTGTGTGATAACAGTGTGTATCCTTCACAACTGATTACACACTGAATAAGACGAGTTACTCTTGACATTGAATGGGCCACGGTGGAAAAACCTGAATGCTCCATGTCTATGTGTCCCTAAGCAAGACACCCGACCCATAATTGCTCCGCGGGCCGATCGTGAAAACCGCGGCTTAAAAACGCAACGCAAGTCAGCTAAATGACAACGTAAACCGCTCTGCCCCTGAACCGCACAATTTCAAACTATTAACTGAACTAATCATAAGTAAATCACCATATCAGAGCTATATAGCAGATCAGATTTATCCTCAATTTTGCTGCTGGTAAAAACCGACAAGTGAGTCATCAGTTCACCAATAAAAAGCAGCAACGCTTGACCTTCAGTGTACCATCAAGCTCTTTGTAATAGTCTGCAACACTTTACGTATCCCTCTTTATCTATTTAATTTTAAATCGTGCCCCAGAGCATCAACACAATTTGCACCATGAGTTTAGTCCCTCTGTGATTTGTACTTTACGTCCATAGCGTCGTGTGCTGCAGGCGAGTCACTTCACTTTCATTCTGAGTGCCTCCCGCAGGCTTCTCCAAACACATGCAAGTGCAGGATTTACTGTGCCGACAACAACCCCTTTCTGCAAGAATGCCTACAAAACCGTTACATTCCTGCCCCGTGCCCACCAAATCACCCCCGAGAAAAGACGCATAAACTTCTGCATCATCGTCGTCCTGGAACCCGCCCGCCTCCAGCGACAAACGTGCCGCCAAATCTAATCAACAAACAGGTTTGTTTACTTTTCACCAGCAGCTGCAAACCGACTTGGATGGAGGTGCCACAGAATACAGAGCAGTAGCTGCTGCCCACACTCGCAGTCTAGAAATAGCCTTTTAAAATGACCACATCGATCACTGTCGAGTCTGCTGAAGCAGCCTCCTCCTCCGCCACCTTCCCCAGCCGCCCCCACCCCAGACCGCTACTGGGCCAGACACTAAATGTTACTTAACATGACGGAGCGCCGCTATGTGACAGAGCGGCCATGAACACACGTGGTAACTGGGACACACACACACACACACACACACGGTAGAGCGACAATTGAGAAACTTTCCATTACACCATACGGCTGTTAAACAGAGATAACAATGTATCATTTCTTTTATTCCACCAGGACCTTGAACACGGCCCACTGTTGCACAACAATGAACCAATTACTCAAACTGAGGCGTCGATCAGTGAGCCGATGACCGGAAGATTCCTAAATTCCAGGATAATAGTCAGAAGTTGTTCCAGTTGAGGCCCGTCTGTAGAAGCGCGTCGGACTCGAGGACCTTCGCAGATGGAGGCCGGTGTTCGTGGGGCAGAAAACCTTTGTCATAGAGTTGCCTTTATAACAAGACATGCTTCTTCCTTATATTTAGCTGACAGTTTCTCTTGTACAACTTCTTTGGACGGGTGACTCGTCGTTTGCGTGTGTGTTGGTTAACCCATAGCATTAGCATTAGCATTTCATTTCTCCTGCACTGCTGTCTTGTCTATTGTTATACGGTCTACTGTCACGCACCAACCGCCAAGTCAAATTCCATGTATGACATATTTTGGCAATAAATGTTTCCTGGTTAAGAGAACAAGTGACACGACCAAACGGACCCCTGCGGGTTCCCGCCGGCGCCGCAGCCGCTGAACTCGCTTTCACACGAAACGTTAACACAAGACAAAGTGTTTGGGTCCAAAACAAACACGCCGCACGCACAGAGGGAGCCCCGGGCGTGACGGCTCTCTGCCGCGCCCACACTCACACACGGCAAGTTACAAAACCACTGCAACCAATGCACTTGTGCGCTCACCAAACCGGCCGAAATGTAGAATCCACAAAAAGTGGCGCTTTACTTGCAGCGTTGGGAAGTTGAGGGAAACCACACAGGTCGCCCGGCGGAACCCACGACATCCTATCAGTGTGGCGGAGGCGCTCTGGGGTTGTGCATCCAGAAAACGCCAAGCCGAAAAACTCACAGTAACAACGCCGGCACGGGGCCAAGACGCAGATAACCAGGACCGCCTCCTCAACGCCAGCGTCACACAACAGTCCTCCTGCCGCCCCGATCTCACCCTGAAGCGCCACGTGCCACTCGCCCGCCGGCCCGCTGTGGCATCTGACACACTGAACTCCTGACACGGGGAGCAAGAGGCGCAAAACACTGAATGGTGAAAAGTATCCCGCTGGGACGTCCCTTGTATTTAACAGTCGGCCAGGACAGCTGGGTCAGCTAGAAAAAACGCCAACACTAGAGGAGCAGGAATAAGGGAGAGCCCAGTAATGAATGAGCAACACGTGCCGTATGTAAACATACCCAAGTGCTAAATATAACCACAACATAACAGGAAGCACACTTTACGTTTGTTTACCTGCTGCACGTTCCAAAAGAATCCCTGAAAACATCTCTGCAGCCAACAAACGTTAAACATTACAACAAAGCTCCCATTAATAAGGAAACGCGCAGAAAAAGTTCATTTAAAAAAAAGGTGCTGGAGGACTTGAGTTTGTGGGTGTGATGCAATGCGCTCTGTGGAAACAACAATGTCATATGAAATATAATGTCAACACTGTGGGGAGACCCGCAGCTTATTTGAGGTCACCAGCTACAGTGAAAAGGCACCAGGTTTCCAGCATGTCAACAGGTTGTTGCACCGGGAGATTAAAACAACAAGCGTGATAAGTGTCCACTGCTCAAACAACAGCTGCACTGTGCATAACGAATACAGTTAATCATCCCAGCCGCCATAAAAGCAACAAGCAAACATGGAGGACTGTGACACACCGGCTAGCACAGTTAGCTAGCTGGCTGGCTAGCTAGCTAACTGCACTAAAGCGACAAATGTCTAAACCTTGCCACAGAAACAAATCATTTAATTAAAGACCTCCGCATGCAACACGCAGCGACGCCCCGTACAACACGACCGGAGTGCGGGCATCTTTCGGAGCTGCTTTCCCTCCACACATGGCCGCGGCGGTGTGTTGACATGTCCGCCTGGCAGCGGCGCGGGGAGCTCCGCTAGCTCCCCCTTGGCCCGGTGCTCCGCTACTACGCCGACACAAGGCCCCGGTCCCCCCCGACAAGACGAGACAAAATGTCGGAACTGCCCAGGTCACATGACTCCTTTGTACTCTGAAAAATCACCCCGCACACGAATGAACCGGCCAAATCGGGGAATTTCACCCCGCCGCGACGGGCAGCGTCCCCGCACGGCAGTAACGGCCGGGACCGTCCCGCGCGAAAGCCGTTAACCACAGAATTCCGTCGTGTTTCTCCGGAGAAAACCGGCGGCCATTTTGTGAAAGCTTGCGCAGGAGGAAAAAAAAAAGAGGGACGCCTCTGATCGTATGAAAATAAAAAATAAACCAGCATACATTTGTTCAAAAATTCGGACGGTTAAAAGCATACCGACTCCTCTTCTTTCTCCATCCCCGTGGGCATCTGCGGCACGGCCCGGTTAATGGATGCATACTCGTGAAGATCGGGTAAATCCTCACAGCGGAAGACGGGCAGCGGCTTGGAAGCGTCCAGCGCCCGCGCCCGAAACGACAGTTTGCTCATTTTTTTGTTCTCTCACAATTCGAGAAGCGACTTGAATCTATCGGATCTCCGGATAGTCACAACGGTGCCGAGTGGAGCTTTCATGGATGATTTCTGTGCGGTTTATCTCTAGTTCGAACGTTCGTAGTGTTGTAGCTTGGAATATAAAAAAGGGCGTCGCCAACGGAGCCGGGGGGTGAAGGCCCGGATCTCGGTCGCTCTCTCTCGGACTGTTTTTTTCCGACGCTGCGCTCCCTACCGTCGGTTCAGTGCGCCATCGACAACATGGCGGACATTTAAAACTCTTTTGCTCTGTTTCGCTCGCAGCGGTCCAACCCCCAGTTGGCGGACCGACCATTCGCACACGATCCCGAGCGCTTGCGCGTTGCGGGGGTGTGTGTGCGGGGGGAGGTGGGGAGGGGGGGGGGGGCGGAGTGGGGGCTTTAATCGCGAAAAACTCCGCTGAATTGAGATATAAATAATAAAGAAAAGTGAGGAAATAATTTATAAATAAAATTAAAATGTACATGCCGTGACAGACGAGTTAATTGTAAATTAAGGGATTTTAAATGTGCGTTACCAAAAAACTAATATGTAATTTTATAATAATGTGCAAAACTCAATTAGGTATTAATAAAAACTTTTTTTTTTTAATTTCACATTTGACTTGAGTCCATATGGTTGATTCTCCATAACATCTTGGACTGTTTTTAAAAACAGAAAATAAGTTTTATACATTTTTTTAATATTAAAAGATTAAAATTGGTGTTGCCCGGGGACAACGTTAAAACAAATAATTTTCTAATTAAATCCCGGATTATTATTTTATTATTCAAAACACTCCCACATTGCAGTAAATATAACTTATACAATACAACATTACTCTTAAAGAGTTTTTTATAATAGTCTGTTGAAAAACTTGAACAACCAAACCCTTATCAAGAGCGCAATGTACAGGGCAACGCCTTAAAATACCACAGAAGTAACTGATCCACTGAACCTCATCCATCCAAAGAAAGAAAAAAAGAGAAGAAGTTTATTCCAGGTGAAGCTCCATGACAAAATGCTCAACACCTGAACAATGTCTCCCTCTCCTGGTCCCACAAAGGATCTGACTTCTGACTTCCAGGACACCCACATGTCTGTCTGAAAGCATTTCACACACTCAATGCCAAAAAAGAAATGCCATGAAGATCAATATCTGGAACCCAAACGCTGATCGGTTCCACAAACACGTGTATTATTTCAGTGTCGGCGGCTCCAGCAGCCGTCCCGCTGGATTTGGGGAACTGAGAGCTGACAAGTCAGCTAAAAAGACTTGCACAGGGACAATTCATTCCAACCCTCAAAAGACTTTACCTGTTGACGACGTGGGGGCTCAGCCGGGGTCCACCCAGGGGAGCGGGGGTTCACCTTTCACCGCAAAATCCAGCGACTGCATTGTGACGACCTGCGAGACGGGTTCACAAGAGCAACAAGGACGTTCAGCCCAGACTGTTTAAAAAAAAAAAAAAAAGGAACACAGGGCAGCAAACAAAGAACAGACAGACAACTTACAGGGAAAGATAAACCGAGCTGGTCCGATTAAGACCAGCAACTCAATGGAAGATGTTCATTTGTTGATTAAGGCGGTTTAGGGAGAGCGGCCTGGGTGGAGCAAAGTAGCACCACTAGTCCACCACCTGAGAATAATTGTGGTCTGACCCTCCAACGACGCAGCTGGCTGGATTCACGGGCATCGCTAAGAGTCCCATTGAGAGGATTTATTCTTTCGTTTGTAGCTTGAACCTCCACCATTTCCTCACTGCTCTCCAGAAGACTATTTTGTGCGATTGGTAATTGAGAAAGAAGTTTTGGAGGTGTGAAGGTAAAGTTAACGGAAAAACGGGAGATTTTGATGTGAAAAAAAAAGAAGATTAGACACAGTGACGGTCAAACTGGGAAATCACAGGTGTGCAGTTTAAACACGACTGCTGAGCTGGTTTGACAGGTCACAGGTCAGTGCCGATGTCGCACTGGTCCCCAAAAAGAAAAAGCTCATGGGATTTTGGATTATTGCAGTGTAATAATATTTAAAGAAGTACTACTGCTGTGATGTTTGAGCAAATTAAACCCCACGACGACTCATATTTAAATATTAACGAGCTGTCGAACAGACTTTTGTCGGTCTTGCAGATTTCTCAGATTGTCTAAACTTAACCACTTACCAGTGATCTATCATCAATACAGAGTCAGTGACCTTTCACTTGTGCCCTCTGGTTGTTGAGCCCCTCGAACTTTGGATGGCGGCTCCAATTTGCACGTTACGAATCAATGTGTCGGCCAAATTCTGTATCACTGGAAGTGTGTTGTCAATGCAGGCACACTGATGCCTGCTTTTAGAAAATGTAACTGATCAGTTCAGGTTATTTCCCCCGGTTAGTTACACTGATATTAAGCTGTACTGCATATAAACATGCCTTGAAATAACCTTTCAGGGCCCTGGTGTCCTACAATTATGCAAAAATGACAGATATGTTGATAATAAACCGCCGACCTTGAGACAAGCTTCTTACAGGCTGGATAAACACGTCCACACACGATGACCCACGTATAATGTGGATGGGGCTTGATGCACAATCAAAAGGAACCCATTCATAATGTGGTGTTCTGGATTACATCATTGACCTGATGTTGTGAACTCAACCCATTAGACACACACACCGTGACGGGAGCTGGTTGTCTGCTAGAATTCATCTTCAAAAGAGGGAGGTTTCTTCAGAGTATTCCCATGTAGCCCATGTAGGGAGAGGTAGGTCCACGGGGAACAGAGATGGGGGGGGAAATCTACTGTAAAGTATGCAGAGGGGGTAGGAGGGACTCAGAACCAGGGCCCTGCAGTTCCCGCCCCGGCCACAAGGCATGACTGGCGCTGTTCAGCCACAGACCCATAAGCCTCGGATCCAACAATGTTATACATTTCCAACCGAGATGATGAACCGTAATCCGTCAAATTACGACAAAATACTAATCGTTGACCCGCTCCTCGCATTTTACCTCCCCGTGTTAGTTAGATCACCCCTCTTCCTCCCGACATCCTAGTTATGCCATCAAGGTAACAACGAGAGAACTACATTTGCGTGGTCATTAACATTAAACATCCATATCATCATCCGCAATCGATCGATATCACACCAGGCGGCCCAAGTGATGAGGAAGTTGGGCTGCTGGAGCGGAGACCTGGTTTCGCGTGTATTCGATCATCTGATGCCAGAAAACACTATTCGCGATGGGCCTTTTCTTTTTTTTTCTTTCCTTTTTTTTGCGGGGAGGAGGAGGAGGGGGGGGCGATCATCGATTCAAGTTTCACAGAACATAACAAGCAAAAAAATACTCACCGACTCGATGTTTCGCCGCACGATGGAGATTAAAAAAAAAAAAAAAAAGACTGACGGGCAACAATGTGGCAAGTTAAAGAAGAAGAAAACGCAACGCGACGCAGCTAGCGAGAGAGAGAGAGAGAAGCAACGTGAACGTTAGCCGCGGCTACTTCCCCCGGAGGCTGTTGTGATAACAACGGACGGTTCTCCGGTATCCCGGCAGGAACGCGTTACACCCGCCACGTCGGAAAAGCAGCGTTCATCGGGAGAAAGTCTGGTGTTTTCCTGTCGATGCAAAGCAGGCTGGAACTAGAGAGGTGGACACCAAAGTGCTACTGTTGGGGGTTAACAACTTTGCTGCAAACCGCGGCCCGTGATTGGACGGCCGAGGCCACCAATCACCTGTGGAGAGCCCCCGGGCGCGTGACGTCTCGCTCCACGGGGATGGAGCGCAAGGTGATTGGCTGACAGGACGACGAGGCTTTTTTGCTTGTTTTTTGTCATATTTTACACGTTTATCCATATTTTGGGCTCAATATAAAAAGTAGACTTTCTTCTTATTTTCTTGCACATAAACTATTTACCGTTTAGATTTCTCTATAACAAGTGTATTATTTACACCTGGGAGATCAACGTTAAACTTTGTGCACATCGGTAATTGTCTGGGGGTGGTTGGTTTCATCACAGATAAATGCAGACAACAAATGCAGTCATCTCTGTTCCCTTACATGTGGTCTTGTTCTTATTTAACTTCTATGTCTATTTTTGTGGAAGTACATTGATGACAATCAAGTCACATTATTTTACTGTGCACACACACACTTTTATTTCTTCCAATCTGGTGGACTTATTTGCATCGATGTGACTTCCTCATCAAGTTCATGCACGTTAAGAACAAGCCACTTGGGAAGAAGAGTAAAGTTTGTGTCAAGTTAAAAACGGCTACAACAAATCCACAAAAGAGCACAACAATATGAGAAAATATAGGGGTGGATTGTTTTCAATGTTTATTCAATAAATAATTTCAGAAATACAGAATTGCAAATGTGAATTTTTTTTTGAAAAAGGCACATAAAACTTACCTTTTATTTTAAAATCATTCCCACCCCCCTCAACTTTACAACTAAATGACATGTCATTTATCCATCTTTAAAAAACCACAAAAAACAACAACACTTTGATCGAGGCACCACTAAAGAGTTGAGTGAAATTACGGACACAGAACAAGTCATACCCTACAAACAATACAAGGCATCTTAATGAAAGCAAACAAAAAGCTAGCAAATAAGGCAGGTTTGCGTGTATTTGGCATTGCTGTGAAGAATTAAGGACCTGAGTTGGCTTGAATGAAGTAAAACCTGGAGCCACACAGTAATACCACCGTACACCGACGTCCTTTAATCGACAAAGGCAGCCCGGGGAAAACAAAAAAGAAAAAGAAAAAAACTCAGACAAAAGATTCAACTGATTGTTCAGATGGAGTTACGCCGCTCGGACGCCTTCAATCTCGTTCTGTGAATACATATATGGCTTTACACAGAAACCAAATCATACTTTCATTGCTACCACACGCTGCAATTGAACATTTCAATCCAAAAAAGGGACACAAAGGGAGTGAGGGACACTTGCTTGGTCAAAATGATGAGGACACAATCAGAACATTTGACAGTTCGATTGCCGCTGACTCAACACTGTACTTATAATTATTTGGAAAGTAACCCGTCATTTGTTGCCGGTTGGCAACCTCCAATTAAACTTTAAAAAAAGAGAACACCGATGGCTTGATGGTTCTCAATTTTAAAAGAAAGGCACAGCTCGGCTCTCCGTTAACTTTGCCGGTTCCGTGGCGGGAAAACTACGAATAGTAGTTCTCTCCCACAACTACACATTCTCTCAAGTTCCGTAGAGGCAAAAAAAAAAAAACATATTAAAAACCCCACATTTATACAGACTGTACAAAATTCAGATGATGCATAGATAAATCTTTAAAAAGTTAGTAAAACAAACTGAAATAGTGGCAAAATGCATTGCTATCGTTTTGTGACTACAACAAATGAAATGAAAAAAACAAACAAAACAGTGAGAGCATTAAAAACCGCGCCCCCCAACCTCCACCTCCTCCTCCTCCTCCTCCTCCTCAGCCCATATTCTTTTCCATACAGTGTTGTCACAAGGAAGGCACAGCTCCATCATTTGCCTTCGTACTTTGGATTGACGACAGTTGTTACGGCGCTTTTGTAGATCGGATTCTCCCCCTGCGGAACAGAAGAAAGTCACCGGTGAGTAAACCAAGTAGTCAGAAACCTCTGTGAAGCTGACCAGTTGGTTTAACAAACAGTTACACAATTCCAGTAGCAGTAAGATAAACATGTTAAGATTAAGTTTCACAGCAACGTGGCACGCAACAAAAGGCAGCAACAAAGCGTGTTTTTCCATTGTCGTTATCACCATCTGGTCAAATATGTCGTAAGACATGTGGTGAGCGGAGAAAGGTTCGACGCCGTTACCGTGGTTTTGGCAGTTTGAGTCGGACTGTCTATTATAATCCTTCACTGCAACAATCTGAACACAATAATCAAATAATCCGGCGTGCAGACGTGCTTCAAACCGGCATGCGTTCCAATAACCAGCAGGGGGCGACTCGTGTAGTTTAAAAAGTAAAAAAGTGAGAAAATGACTACTTCAACCTTGATTTACAAACAAACAAACAAACGTGAGCTAATGGACTTAATGTCTAGTTTAAAGTCTACAATTAAGCAAAATGTACGTTTAGTAAAAAACAGGCCACTTAAAGTAAATAATTGGATAAAATGGTTTGCTTTAGGGGCGGGGCTACTTTTGAGATTGACAGGTCACTGGCATGGAGCCTCACAACTGACTCAAAGTGCACCTTTAGTTCACAGAAATAAATGGTAATATATTAGTTGCCTGAAAACATCTGGCCGTACTTTTCTCCGCCTTCGCGAAACAAGATGGCGACGGCTTACGCGGCAAACTAGACTGAAAAACAGCAGATTACTGACCAGCGCGCCACATCACGGTGACCACGGCCACTTCTTATAAACGTACCGTGTGCACATCACGTTTGGTCAAAGCTGTAGCATCTCTTGTTACAGCGTGATGTTTGTGAGCACCAGATGTATGAAGGAGTTAAATGTGTTTAAAAACAAAACCATCACCATTCTGTTAACCGTGCGTCCCCATTCTCACACTTCAGATTCCTCACATTCACCTCACACCCTCCTCGGTGACCGACATCTGCCCCAGTGTGGTTCTGCATGCTAACTCTACAACATGCAGTTACGGCGATACGAACTTTGACCTAAAGAGAAGCTCCTTTATTCCCATAGCTGGGATTCTGGAACTGGTTAATGGGACTCTTGTAAATGGGGTTCCTTTGCTAACATGGAGAAAGAAAGTAATGAGGAGAAACAGGTAACCAGAGTGAACAAGGACAGTAAAAAGGAAAATGTTCAGAAAAAGAGCAGAAAAGGCCAGAAATGAATCTCTAACTGGAACTAACGTGCTCATTTTGCTCCCTTTCCCACCTCTTTACACCCTAAAAATGACATTGTTGCTTCTGTGTCGTATCAGACGGCAGTTTCCGCTTTCCTGCAAAAAGCGGCATGTCACATTTCATAAGGATGTCTTGTATTGTCTTGGATCTGGGCACAAAGTAAACCTTTAGATCCACACAACACAAATTAAAAATGAAAAGCTTGAGCGGGCCGCTAGCAGCTCACACGATCTAGATGCTGCGTGTTTGATGAAGAAGAGAACATTAGAAACACTGCTGCTGTAGAGCGCTCTATCCACGCCGCTCCTCCTCCTGTGCTTCAAAGCCTTTTATGGTCGTGCAGTTGTGCCGCGTGGACGGAGAGAGGCAGCACCGCCAGCGGAGAGGAAGGCCGCTCCCTCGACTGGTGCAGACTAAACAGAGCCGCAGGAGTCGAGGTGGAGGAGGCCGGAGATCCTCTCTGAATCTCACTCACTGCGTCTGGTTTCAACCGCTCTGCTGCCTACGAACCGTTGGGGAACTTTTCTGTGTGCAGCTACAGAGCTAGAAAATCTATTGACATCCATCAGGAGAAACCTGTCATGTGGTGTCCAATTCCCATTGTGTCTGCTGCTTTGAGATTATATTAAAGAACTGCAGCGTGATTCAAAGTCCAATGTTGCCCGAGGTGAACGTTCTCATTTTATCGCGAACATCAATAACGTAACGGCTGAAATAACATGGCCGTTACCTAGAACGTGTTAAAAGAGCGTCGAGAGTTTGCTCACCGTGTCCCACTTGGCGTTCATCTTCTCCTTCTCAAACTTGGCGAACTCTCGGCGGTCGTGGATGATCATGAGCAGCTTCCAGATGAGCAGCAGGGCGAGGCCGATCAGCACGATGCCGGCCACCACACCGGCCACGATGGGGATGATGTCGGGACCCGCCGGGCACTCTGAACCAAGAGAAGCCAAGTGTTACACAGTTTATTGTCGCAGTGCCAGTAGAATAACCGCGCGGAGGCTACGAGGCCTCATCGGCTCCACCAGACAAAAACTAACCAAGAGGAACCAAACAATGAGTCGGACTGGAATCTTTAAAGTAAAATCCAGGACTTCAAAGAAACTCCTTTACAGGAATTCCTGCACAGCGAGGCGGTGGGAACATACCCAGCGTCTCCACCACGTACACCTCCTTGGTGTCGTTCCTGATGGCGTAGGTGTAGTAGAACCAGCAGTCGTTGGCGTCCCGCTCCTTGCAGTGGCTCAGGGGGTAGCTCTGGTCGGCGGGCTGCGGCAGCTTGTCGCGGTCCTTCACCTTCATCAGCTGGAAGTAGCTGCAGTCGCGCTCGCATGTGTCCTTCTTCTCGCCGGCCTCGAACGCCCGGCACTGCACGCAGTCCCTGCAAAGACGAGTTGGGGGGGTCATTCACTGCACGAGTATCTAGAGATTGTTCATGTAGAACACAAAGAGCCTTCGAGGAAAATCACCAGAGACTTCTTATAGGACCAAAGAATCAATAAAAACAGATTTAGAAAACTCCGGCGGGGGGTTGGATTCATGGCTCTGAGAGCCACGCCAGCTTCGGACTCACTTGTGCTCCGGGCAGACGCCGGGGCAGGTTGGGCAGATCTCGCAGGTCGGACCCTGGAATTTGGGGTTGGTGCATTTGCAGGCGCCGCACTCACAGGTACCGCGTCCGTTGCAGATCTGTCCGTTCTTGGCGAGGCAGGTGGCGGTCTCCAGGGAGCAGTCGCAGGCGCTGCCGGTGTAGTTGGCATCGCAGATGCACTTCCTGCAGTCGCAGCGCCCGTGTCCTGTGGAAGCCGGGGGACCACAGTGCTCAGCAAACAGCGCAAAGCTCAACCTTTCAAGCGTATCCGGTCCTACGATGCTCACCTCCGCAGAGCTTGTTGTTGGAGCGGTCGCAGTTGAAGTTGTCGCACTCGCAGTACTTCCCGGAGTAGATCTCCGCGGGGTTCTCCCGCTTCTTGCATTCGCACGTGCCGCACACGCAGTCGCCGTTGTTGCTGCAGATGTCCGTGCCGTTGTCTTTTCGGCAGTTGGCGTCCAGGTCTTCCGTCCGCACCTCGTCCTTGCTGCACTCGCAAAGGCGCCCGATGCGGCCGTCGTTGCACCTGGCGCAGGAAACCGCAGGTTAGCAGAAAAACTCAATTCAGCAATAAAAAAAACAAAAGCATGATGGATGTTTGGGAAATGAGGCCTTCCAGCAGAGAGCACTTGTCAGAACACCTTTCTCCCTCATTTCAGCTTTACAGGCAGCTTTCTGAGACATAGATCCCCCCCCCCTCTGGTAAAGGATATGCAGCTCTGGGGGCTCTATTCTAAAGACGTACTTGCAGGCGCCGCACTCAAAGGTCCCGTTGCCCTCGGAGCACTGGTCACTGTTGGTCACTCCGTTTTTGGCGCAGGGACAGTCGCAGATGAACGTGAGGACGACCTCCACCTCCTCGGTGAAGCCCAGTGGTTTGATCTTAATGACCTCGGGCTTGCCGTGCGACGGACACTTCTGGGATTCAATGGAAATGTGGAACAACACCTGGAAAGCAAGAGGAAGTGTAGGGTAAATGATTACGAGGGTTCCTTTCTCCCGCCCCCCAATTTCATCTCTTTCAAACAACATGTACCTCGTCTCCGATGGAAATGTTGGAGCACTTCCTGCCGTTCTCCCCAGTTCCCTCCACGCCGTTCTTACAGATGGACTTGTAGGTGATTGAGACTCCCTCCGGCAGCCGGCTGTTTTCCAGAATCACCTCAGATGACAAAGACTGTCCACAAACGAGACGGATCCAACAGTCACTAGAGGCTCTAGTGATGCATTCAGTTTCCGTCCATAATATTTAGCTTTAATTTATTCCTTTAGCACAGAAATCTTTGGAACATTTTTCCCTACAAGACAACACAACAACATTCAATATCTCGGAGTCAGATGTGCAAACCGAGCAGTCAGACTCACGTTGTAGGCATCAATGATGAGTTTGATGACGTTGCTCGAGTTGGAGGAGAGCGTGCCGACGGCCGATTTAGGAATGAGATTTTTCAACTCCTGAAGGAGACGCAAGCGCCAGAAGGTAAGAAAGTGAACACGTGTGGAACATGCCTCTTGCTTTTGAATTACAATGAGGAAAATGATAAAAGCCATGTAGTTTACCTTGTAAACAGGCTGGAACTCCTCGGTGACGGCAAAGATGGTCTGGATGTTGTGATCACTCAGTTTCTGAACCAGATGGGCGATGGACGGGTAGTCCTATCGAAAGATCCATCGACACAGGAAGAAACAAACACGTTATCACCAATAAAAGAAGAACTCTGTTTAAAGCTACCGTTTAAAATCTGAGTGGACATGAAGAAACGACTCTGAACATCAACAAGGAACCGAGACAATGCCGCAGCATGCATGCGTCAGTAAATGATGAGCCACATACGTAGTAGTGGCTCATGGTGTACATGTTGTTCTCCAGGTGACACCTGCCATCATTGGGCAGGACGATGCCGCCTAGCTTGCCGTCTCCGGCGAAGTGGAATCCAGCGTCGGTGGAAAACACCAGCAGGCGAGTCACGTTCCTCCAGCCGATTTGGTTCTGACAACGCCGAACACCAGGAGAGCCGCCTCGTTAATAGTTCACACGTTTACAAGGCCCACCGGCAGTCGAAGAGACGCCCGAAGCCCCTTCTTACCTCGCAGACCGCCACCTGCATGATGGCGTCGAAGCCTCCCTCTGGGGAGTCCAGGTTGCCTGAGATCTGCTGCTGACTGACCAGGCGATTGAACTCGTCGCCCTTGTCCGTCAGCTTCAGGACGTTCTTGTAGCTGAAGGGGCTGGTGCAGTTCTGGTTCCCCGTGCAGGGGTTGATGAGCCTGGCTGGAGTGGTGCTGATGTACGGCATGACAGTCTTCTCCACGAAGGAGCCGAAGCCTGAAAGAAATTAAGAAATTCATTTTAAGTCGTGCTGCGTAACGCTCGGCTCCCCTGTCGATTATCACAGAGTTCTTCTCACCGATCCTGAAGTCCGAGGTAATGCCCTGCATCTCCCTCATCAGGTCCGTGCCCAGGTTCTTGACGTTTTCCAAATCGTCTTTCATGGAGAAGGAGAGGTCCATGAGGTAGTAGAGGTCGATGGGGTAGTCCTCAGCGCGCTTGAACTTTAGCTCAAAGGTCTGGGGTTCACCTTATGGGGAAGAATCGATCATTTATAGTGGAATTCGTTAGTGGAATTTTAAAACAACGGGCATGAGGGAGTTTCTCACAAACATTTTGACTTTAAAACTCTAACCCAGTTAAAGGGCTGAATATTTACCAGATCGCAGAGTCAGGGAGAGCTTCTGGGGCTGGATCTGGGTGATCTGCTCGGGCGTCAGCTTCTCGGCCACGTCCTTCTTGCGGTTGGTGACCGTCTTGTTCTGGTCTATTCGGATGCCTCCTCGCGGGTTCTCAATTTTGGTCAAGGAGCAACCTCTCTTCTTCAGGGACTCCAGATCGTCGCAGCGGGCCGACTTTGATTCGCCCACAGTGAGGAACGTCTGTGAAATGGCGCATGGTGCTTACGTGAGTGTTAGATAAAAATTGCTGCCACGTGCGTGACTGATTTCCCAGATATCGTTCGTTGGTGCCTCAATGTCCCACATTATGCTGACATAACATTAAAAGATGTTATTTTCTTGAGATAATTTACAGAAATGTGTCCTTGTAAAAGTGGCATGAAGAAACAAGTGGTAACAATTTGTTCTTTTGTGTTATTATTTGGGGAAGAAATGCTCTCCACCAACGAGGCCTTTGGGACCGATCTGCTTTTCTCCGTTTGTGGGCCATTGTTCTCCAGCAGCGGCAGACAAAGAAACAGATGAGTGAGGAGCCTGGCTGAGATCACAGATTGGATGCACATGATATCCCACAAAGCATTGCGGAGAAGACCATGAGACAAACTCAGGAAATAGAAATAGAATAGTGCTTTGACCCAATTCTGACACACACAAGTCTGGTTTTTCCACTCTGCATTTTGCCGTACGTAGCAGATCAAATATATATTATAAATTTACAAACCCACAAAAGTTCTACGTTAACCTCACAAAACTGAAGAGGCTGCAAAAAACGTTGCTATACTTCGGATACTTGTTGTCGGTTTGTCCTGCACATCGGAGTCACCACACCGTGATTTCATATTAACCTGGTCCGTTCCCTCAGAAGAGGTCGTAGTGACACATGACGACGCGGTCTTATCGAGAACGCCACCTGTGTCCCAAGCTGTCTTTTATCAAACTAACCTCAGAGTGATTGTGCGACTAACTGAACTCCTACTGAACTTTTTACTTCTCCCAACTTGTGTTCAACTGTGCGATGATTGATCGCAGTACTTTATGTAGTCTACATATTAAAAATTTAACAAAATGACTTTTCTTAAAGGAGATTGAGACTACACAGCTAAAGTATTGTTGATTTCTTAAGTCTTGAGTGATACGCAGAATTTGTTTGCACCTGAGGAAAGTACAGCTTATGTGCAAGTATATCTATAGATGTATCGGCTTGAATAAATACATAAAATGTGTCCGTACTTTTTGAACCCTGCCACCTTAAAAACATTCTAATGTGATTGCATTTTGGATTGTGTTTGTTTGACAGCTTTAACTATGACGTCAGCCCATTTAGAAATGTTGAAATTAATTAGAGTGCAGAGTTTCCCCTGGCTTCGCAACTTAGGGCAAATAGGGTAGTAGTCGGGCAAACTGTTCGGACGAGCAGGAGGGGGGGGTGTCACTCTGCCCTGCTGCTGCGAGCGCCACACAGACATACTCGGGACATATTTGGAACTGACCTGCGTGGGGGGGAAATTAATTTAAAAATTTTTTTAATTTATTGCACACTTTTTTCAGAGGGGGGCTGTTATAACAGGCGAAACCCTGGAGTGCATTATTATTTTCTACTCAAGATGACGACTCCCTGCTGTGCTCGTAGGCCGTCTTTTTGTTGAGTTCATTCACAATCCACAGCACTCTGACTGGCCACGCCCACGTTGTCAGACTCTTCAATAACTATTCATTTGCATCCACAACAACAACACTTTGGTTTCACCGATTTGACTCACTTCATCCGCACACCAGCCGCACGTCTCTGCGACCTGGATGCATTCCCCGCACGACTGCGCGTTGGCCTTGATGCAAATGCTCCCCTCTGAAAGAGACGCCACAAATTCCTGTGAGCCAAAATGACAGAACCCCTCCTCAATTTCCATTAGTTCACTAACTCGAAACAGCTTCCCGGTCTAGAAAACCGAGTCACGCTGAGAGAAGCTCTAGGCAGCTCACCAAGTAATGACTTCACCTCATAAAAAAAGAACAGTTCCTCCATCAGGACCCGCAGTAATACAACGATGAAATACAAGATGTGAAGTGGATGAGAGTATCGCACTGTGCTTAAGAAAGTGAAATCATCCTAGTCAACAAACACATGACGTTTGATAATAAACATGGCTAAGAGGTAGCTAAGTTGAGGTAAATGGAGCTTTACAGCATTCTCTAGCTCTTACCTTGCTGTGCCCAGCTGCCGCCGAGGACCGCTGACAACGATGCGATCAAAAGTAACCGCAGATCCATCTGTAACGAGAAAAATACAATAACTCCAGGTGTTGCAGTTTTAACAGGACGGCTTGAAAGAAAACAGATTTGAGTCGGCCTGCTTTGTTACTGGTGTCAAATAAAAAGTGGAACAGGAACATGTTTTTTGAAGTGGTTTAACGTGACGCGGCTCTATCTTCATAAGTCATTGAAAGACGTCAACATCTGACCGCACTGCTATCTCGGCAAGGTTCTCGTGGACATGTGACTCCTAAAAACAATAGTTGGAATTTTAATGAGGACAAACAGACGTTAGCGACTGTAACCCGGCGTGGAGGTGAAATGCCTCCTTTGAATGAGCGGCTTTCATTTGGCCTCTTCCAAATAGGGAGGAACCACGCTGCATATTTGCTTTGTGACTTTGGAAACCTTCACACGGGGAAAGGGGAGTTTCTTATCTCAACGGCACATTTCAGATAAGACTTAACAAGAGAAAGACAGAGAGACGCTTGTGGAGACAACAAACACTCGGCATAAAAGGGAGCGAGTGAGGTGTTCGATTCATAATGAGTTCAACAGACTTGTAATGACTGAAAGAGAGCAGCAGAAGGAGCTTTCAGACGGCCGACTTCTAAAGCTGCCACACAATAACTGTGGTTCACACGGAGCGGAGCTTTCACCAACCAGCCACAAGTCCACAGGCTCAAGAATATTTGTGTGACAGCAGCGTGAAAATAGCTTTAGTGGCGGCTCAACATTTTTAGTTAAAAACGTATGTTAAGGTCTCAACTTGGTGGGGGAAAAAAAACACAGAAAAAGGGCGTGTTTCGTTGAGTGTGTGTTGCCATATATGGTCGGGCTGGTTCATGACTCTTCCTGAGTCTCTGCCATTCCCCTCCAACAACTCCAGAGACACACCTTCTCGACGCTGCCTGATCATCAGGCTCAGAGACTCACACCAACATAGACAAAGGCTAAAAAGTTAACGGCTGTGCCCCAAAACAAGGCCTCCCTGACGGGATGGGTCTATGCCGAACGGCGGTGTCAGCAGATAGGAGTGGATTTGTGTGAGCGATGCAGATGTAAAGCAGTAGGTCACAGGGTGCAGGCATCTGCAACAACAACCACATCCTGTGAAATGCAGCCCGATGACCAACTCAGACGCTGGTTTACTAGAAGCGCTTTAGTGATTGTTATCATGCTGCTGCGAGGGGGAGGTTAAAGAACAGCAGAGTATTTGTAATGATCAGACAAGAAGCTAAATCTGTTCCGTTTTTGATTTTGTGAATTAAAGGAGATTATGTGGATTATTCTGAAGTTTTCTTGGGTAAAACTATCCGCTCTGTTTTTCCGAATTAAACAAGCGGAGTTTGATTTCCTGGAAATGTTGTTTCAGGGTTTTAAACATTAGCGCGCTGACAACCAGACACACATGATAAAAAATACCCTTGTGGCAAGACGGACTAAAAGATTTAACATGCAGCATACCCAGCGAGATGCTTACTAAAACGCAAAGCCTGCAACTGCAAAGTCTTTCTTCACCATTAAGACTCCTCCCCAACATTCCTGAATAGCAGCTTTGTTTACCACGCAGGCCTGCAAATTACACAGCGCTGACAGATTTTGAGAGGCATTCAGGGTCTCCAGTGTCTCAGAGCCACAATGGCATCAAGCGCTGGAATTCCTCCCTAAGGAACTCGGTGGGGTTTTTTGAAAACAGGCTTTCTTTGACATAAATGCAAAATTACATATGAATGAAACCTCTTCAATGTTCACCCTCTCTACTCCACGCGCCACCGTCGCCTCAAAACATCAAAAGTCAGCCGAGGTCACCGCTCATAGGAGCTGATCGCGGCTACGGGCCGACAGACCTTGATGAGGCCCTAATGCATGACACACTGTGGAAAAACTGCTCCTCATAATCCATGACACACTGGAGGTAAAACCGCTCCTCACAGCGGGGGGTCGTGGAAGACGAAGGGCCAGCGGAAAGTGGTGAATCCCTAGATGAACTCTTCTAGCCAGTTAGTTTGAACCACCTGTTGCCTCCACAAAGAGACCCAATCAACTCCTATGCAAGAATGATTCTACCTCCACAGCAGAGGATGACAACACCATCTACAAGTTGTCCCTGATTTTGTTTTAGTATTTCCAATCCAATTTCTGAGACACATGGTTGAAGCGGCTATACTTTACCTCCCTATCAGTTGAGTCAAGAGACAAAACCAAACCTTTTCCTCGGCCATTTCTCTTCCTACCGGGAAGCACAAACCGGTGTACGAGTAGTTGTGGTGACAGACCTGAGAGCCTAATATTTAGAGTAAGGGGATCACACCGCGTTGAATCATGACTTTGTATGGTCAGGCTGGAGAAGACAGAGACGACACATGCTTAGTGTTGAACGTTAGCATCACTATTGTGTGTTTACAATTCCCCTTCTGTGAATAGCAGCTAAGTGAGGCAGTGCAAATATGGACGTGTGGCCCGTAACAAATCAAACAGGTTAGCGCTTTCTATAGTCTACATTAAGAAGGGCAACGATTATATAGAATCTAAAAAGATGAAGACTAGTTCCAGCTATGCAAATATGAGGATATGGCGCTTTTGTGGTTCATTTATAACAATTACCGGAATATCTCCAGGTTGTGACCTATGTTTGGAAGATATTAGTATGCTGAAGAGAGGCTTTTGGAAATTGGAATGAGCAGTTTTGATCATCAACCAGCTTTAGAAACAAGATCATGTACCCATTTGTCCAGATTCCACATACCTACTTAATAAGGTTTGGTGATTTGACGATAGTTTGTTAATCAGAGCTGAATGAAGGGTGGTAACGTCGTCTGAAACAGCAGCCAAAGAACAACAACACACAAAAATGACGACTAGCTCAGGCTAAAACCGACCAAGCTTTAAAAGGTTGAGCCGAGTAATCAAGTTTAGAAAGTGCTCCTTGCAAACAGGCTTCTGCAGCTTCAGGGAAACCGGAAAATTACTGATAAGTCCCTCACCACTGAGCGGTACATGACAAATAACCACTGCGGCGAGGTCCGGCTCTTCATATCTGGCTTTGTACGATGGAGCGTGTGTGTTGTCTGGTTTCAGAGATTAAAATACTGGTTGTATGTACAGTGACAATTACAAAAGCAGTGGAGAATTCAGTGTTGTCCTTTAGTTCTTACTTCTTCCCACTTTTCTACAGCGAACCCTACATTAAATATGCAACTGCTTTCTATAATCCAACAGGGCAGCTTTTAACACAAGCAGTGGGGGGGCCGGGGGCCCCGGGACATGTGTTTTATCAAGAAACTTCTCCCACCAGCTGCTGAGAGGAGCTGCCTGAAACTCAACCCTTTGCTGTGGTCCGCTGGCTGCCATCAGCAGACGGGTCAGAGGCGTTTTGATTCAATCTGCAGTCTGAAAGCGGGCCTCAGGGACCCCGAGCATCCATCCAGGCTCGCCTGCCATCGCCCTCCCTCGTGTAGAGACACTTCTAGAAAGCCATCCCCTGCTCATAAGTGTAGTTGTATTAAGATATAATGACACCTCGTGGGGTCTCTGTCAACATGACATCTACTTCGTGGTATTTTGCCTGATCCAAACATGTGTGTGCAGATTCTCACAGATCACAGGGTTCAACACGGGTGGTGTTCTCGATCAGACGGTGTAGACGTGTGTCACCGCGACCTCTTTGTTTACCTCTTCCTATGTTCATTGACGGAGGTGCGGTGCCTTATCGGCGGTTATCAAGCAGGGAGGGGCACAACGCAGTCTCGGCCAAGTTACATCCGGTCTACAAGGCCACTGCTGATGCGCGCCACTAAAAGCTCAATCACCTATTTATGGCAAGAGTTTGTGTTCACACAGACACATAATTGGGTGTGGGGGAGAGGGGGGGGGGGTCCTTGGCTGGTGATGACCACGCTGGCTCTTATATTGCTCCTCCATATGGTCCAATTTACCATGTTTCATTCGGTCATCGCAAACGTTTGAAAAACGTCATGACATCATGCAAAACATGAATTAGATTTATTTTTCTAAT